GTTCGAAAACTGAGGTACCACTGTACTACTACTACTTATTATTATTATTAAATTTGTATACCACCCATCATCTGAAGATCTCAGGATGGTTCACCGCATAAAATTACAGAATAAAAATGTTATATTAAGATAAAGTTACTAATAAATATAAACAAATTGCTGTATCAATTCTTTCACCTTTGGACACACCCTCCCTCTAAGCTTCCTGGCTCTCACCCAGGACTCAAACAAACTCAGGTCACCTGCAAAAGTCTCACAAAGGAACTGTTGCTGCTGACATCACCCTAGTCTCTTACTCTATGTTTGCTTTTTTATGGGAAGGTGGGTGGAGTTGTCTCAGGCTGCCAACAGCTGTGTCCCATTAAGCTGTCAGCTGCACTCTCCAAATCCAGTTCCAGGTACAATATGTTTGGTGAGTTTGGCAGGGGGGTCCAAAGGATGGGGAAAGGACACACAAGAACTACCAACAGTGGAAGACTGGCAGATGTAAATGGTGAAAGGAGGGAAAGTAAAGTTAGATTATATTAAGATAAAATAGAGGACAAAAACTGGAAAAGATGGAAAGGATTTGCTGAAATAGCTAATTGAACTAGAATACAAAAAAGGGAGGTGTCAGGAGGTCAAGGAAACAAGCAAATGAAAGATAAGATATGGGAAGATTCAATGTATATTTTTTCCTTTTTTTTCCTTTTTCTTATATTTTTTTTCTTTTTTCTTTTTTTCTTTATTGTGATGTGATGTTCTGTTTTTGCTTATGCTGTTTTTTCTTTTTTCTTTATGTAACCTTTCAAATCTTAATAAATATTATTAAAAAAAAAAAAGAAGATTGGCAGATGAAGATGATGGACTTTTCGGAGCTAGCTGACCTGACTGGAAGAATCCGCGACCAGAAAGAAGAGGAGTTTCAAGAGGACTGGAGGAAATTCAAGGACTATTTGAATAAATATTGTAATATAAAAAATTAGAAATTACTTGAAAGAAACAAATAGGCCTAGGATTAAACTAAGTTATAATTAAATAAATGGGATTTAGAATGTTAAGAAAAGTGAATAAGATGGACTATAATTGGAAATTGTTTTAGTTTAATAATTATATTGGAAGGCTGTTACTTGCGTGTCGAGACCCCGCAGCCACCCCCTCGTTGGAAATAACTCACACAAGGACACGGATATTAGGTTTATGTTATTGGACAAATTTTGGCCACAACTTTATTGAAATTAGAATGTGAGTGGTATTGGCTTAGGCATGGATTGGACCTGACTATACAGTGGTACCTCGCAAGACGAATGCCTCGCAAGACGAAAAACGCGCAAGACGAAAGAGTTTTTCGTTTTTTGAGTTGCTTCGCAAGATGAATTTCCCTATGGGCTTGCTTCGCAAGACGAAAACGTCTTGCGAGTTTGTTTCCTTTTTCTTAAAACCGTTAATACCGTTAAAACCGTGCTTCGCAAGACGAAAAAACTCGCAGAACGAATTAATTTCGTCTTGCGAGGCACCACTGTATCTGATTCCTGCCCATTGTGCAGGAAGTCCCAGTAAGGGTAAGCCACCGGTAGGGGGAGCCCTGTCGATGCGAACCAACTCAAGCTCCCCCTGGTGTTCCTGTTGGAGTTGTGTCAAGGCCTTAGCCCGCCAGCCGGGCATCAGACTACATCAACACCCCCGGATTCCTTTAACGGAATACCCTTAAGCATGGAGGGGCAGGTGATGGCCACACCTCCCCTCCCCCACACAAGGTCAAACAATGCCTAACTGCAACCCTAACAAAGTTGTGATGATTGCTACGAGGTAGGCGAAAACCAAGTGGCCAGTGCCAATCTGCCAAGTGGAAAAATTCCTGCCAGGCCCCTCGGACAACCAAGGCGACCAACCGAAGTCCATAGCAAGGCCATTGCCTAACCTGCAAAATAGGGAGGGAGGGCGGGTGATTGAGGAAGCGAGCCAAAGAGGAAGTCCTCTGGCTCGCTCCTCCATTTAAATGGCCCTGGCCAGCGGGTTGGCTGGCTGGGCTCTGACGTGGCCAGGATCCCCCAGGCAACGGGGGACAGAGTCCCCCGCCCCCAGTGGGGAGTGGGTGGCCACGTGGTCCACCGCAACTCCTCCCCACTGGGAAGTGGAGCGGTTTTTTAACTATAAGGAAACTCAGAAGGGAGGGACTAGAGGAAGTCAACCAAGATGTTTAAAAGGTTGGATATGTACAGAATTAAGTTTGTTGTTATTGTTTATCTGTTTATTGTTCCTTTTTTCTTCTTTCGTTCCTTGATGTATTTCCCCCCCTGTTTTTGTGTGTCATTTTGCTTTGTGGTTTTTGTTATAATTGTGGAAAATCTAATAAATTTTTTTTAAAAAGGGATGGGGAAAGGACACGGTGCCACTTACAGTTCTTTCTCCAGCCTCTGCTCCCTTTTCCTCCAGATGTTCTAAGGAATGGAGCAGTTCATGGGGTAATTGGAAATCAGTGTACAGTGGCCTCCATTGCAGCTGTGTGCAAGTCGGAGGTTTCTGCGCAGACACTGCATTCAGGCAAGCAACAGGCATTATTTTATTTATTTGTTGAATTTATATACTGCCCTTCATCCAGGGTGGTTTACAGCATAAAACACAAAAGTGCACAACCACAATAACAAACAAAACAATAACCCCCACCCCATACAGAGTTTAAAAGACCATCAGTTGGTCAATTAACCAAAGGCCTGGGTGAAGAGGAAAGTTTTTGCCTAGTACCTAAAGATATGCAATGAAGGCACCAGGTGAGCCTCTCTGGGGAGAGCATTCCACAAGTGGAATGCAGAAAAGACCTGCTCTTGTCTTGCCACCTCCCGGACCTCTTGTGGAGGGAGCACACGAAGAAGGGCCTCAGAAGATGATCGCAGGGTCTGGGCTGGTTCATATGGTCCTTGAGGGATTGCAGTCCTGAGCTGTTTAAGGCTTTATAGCTCAAAAGCAACACTTTGAAGTGGGCCTGGAAACTGACTGGTCAGTCCAGGATCGGTGTTGTATGCTCAAACTGCCCTGCCCCAATATCAAAGTTCAAGGACACATTTCCTCCATGCCAAGGCACTTGAGGGGATGTAGAGCAGGGTTCCTGAGGGGTGTGGCCTCGGAAGGAACGCAGGAAGCTGAGTCAGACCATTGGTCCATCTGATTCAGTACTGGAGGAGGGCAGAGTTCAATCCTGCTGGGTGCTGCTTCAGCAGGGTGTTCCCTGTGGGGGAGGTGCTGGTGAAGCAGGCACCCTCCCCATGTATCAACTTTGGATGGGACCACCCATTTATCACCTGACATCATCATGACACCTGATGATTGACATCTGGATTGGCCTGTGGGGCAGGGGACAAAATATTTTGCCTGTGGGGCCAAAAGGGTTCTCTGAACTTGAGTTACACATCAATGGAGCAATGTGATGAATTCTTAGAAACGTTAAGTATGTTTATTTTCTTCATCAATCTACCATTGTTAGAACCATTCGAGAGAAAGGGCAAGCTCAAAATAAGCTCATTCATAAGCACATTGCTTTGCTAATCCTTTTGTTGCTGCTGCTGAGTAACACAGAGAGAGCTCAAGGTATTCGTGCAAACATGCCACCCTTCCTTGCAAAGCAAGAAAACCAGAAGCCATGACAAAGGAAGAGAACATGCTAAGTGATGCATGGCGCTCAGCTTTAGAGATCAGGATGTGGTATTGGCACATGCATTACTGGACTGTGCTCAAGCCAAGAAGGTGGAGGAAGTTGCACCATGGCCACAGCAGAGATGTATCTTGTCTCAGCCGCTGAAGCATTTACACAACATCTTACTCATCCAATAGATAGTTCATACTTTGTTATCAAAACCGGTTTTCCAGGAACTTAAGAAACCTGGAGGAAAGCATCAGCCTTTAGAAGTTCCAGCTACACATGCCATGAGAATGTCCCCAGGACAGTTTCTTGCACGCCTCGGTCAGTGCTCTAGTGCTCAGACGGGAGGATGGGAAGTATTTATACAAAAATGCAGGTATCTTCTCTCCTCACTCCCCTTCTAGGATACCCCAGTGCCCAAAGCAGAAGGCCAACCATGCAGATTACACAGCCCATGCCAGGCTTTGAATGGAATAGAAGAGCCGCTCAGCTGATGTGTGGTTTGGGAAAGGGTTGTAGCTTTGTGGGGAGCACATGCCTTTTTTGCATGCAAAAGGTCCGAGGTTCAATCCTCAGCATCTCTAGGAAGGGCTAAGAAAGACTCCTGGCTGAAACCCTGGAAAGCTGCAGTCAGTCAGTCTATGAGTGCTATTCACTTACGTTGCAGACCTACTGCAATTAATGAACCAAACTGAGTCATAGCCATTCATTGCAATGGGTGTGCTCTAAGTAAAACTTAGTACCACCTAATGCATTGAGTTAGGGGGCTGCATCAATCACCTGATTTTTCTGTTGGTTTATGGATGCAGAGATCTCCAAGTGTGAGGCTTTGCAAAGGCGACCTACCTCTACCCTCTACTGACCCAAACCAGCTGCATCTTGTTGAGGGAACTGTGCAAGGAGGAAGGTGAAGAAAGCTCCTATTCTGTGGTGGTGGTGACTGGCTGTTTATTTAGCAGTATTTTGCAGCGGCTGACATCAGGCAAGCTCCTTGAATGTGTGTGCATGTCTGTCTGCACACCCTCCTCTGCTGAGTGTGTCTGTCTGTCTGCCTGCCTGCCTGCCTGCCTGCCTGTATATTCCCCTGCTAAGAGTATGCCTGCCTGCCTGCATGTTAGTACAGTGGTACCTTGGGTTAAAAACTTAATTCGTTCTGGAGGTCCATTCTTAACCTGAAACTGCTCTTAACCTGAGGTACCACTCTAGCTAATGGGGCCTCCCACTGCCGCCACACCGCCAGCACATGATTTCTGTTTTCGTCCTGAAGCAAAGTTCATAACCCGAGGCACTATTTCTGGGTTAGCGGAGCCTGTAACCTGAAGCGTCTGTAACCTGAAGCATCTGTAACTTGAGGTACCACTGTACATATATAGGGGAAGGGCCAGAGCTGAGTGGCAGAGCATCTGCTCATATTATTCAGAAGGTCCCAGGTTCAGTCCCTGGCATCTCCAGGTAAGGAGAGGAATGTCTCGCTTCTGAAACCCTGGAGCGCTGAAGTCACCATAGACAATACTGAACTAGATGGGGCAATGGTCTGACTCAGTCTTAAGTCAGCTTCCAATGTCTGGGTCTGTCTGCTTGCCCCTCCCATTCTGCTAAGTGGTACGTGTCTATCTGCATGGGGAGTGGATGTGAGTGGCCTGCATAGCAGACCCTCCAAGTTTTTTTTCCAGGGACAGTCCCGGATTTACAGAAGCAGTCCCAGTTTCTGATTTGATCCCAGAATGCCTCACTCTTCCTTAGGACATCCCCAGTGCTTTTTTTTGTGGGGGGACGCAGGGGGACGCATACCCCCTAAACATTTTGTGAATCTAAGTTTGGCCTCATTGAGGGGCAGTATTTCAATATGAGTAGGGAAATGAGAGTACCCCTAAACATTTTTTAAAGAAAAAAAGCACTGGATGTCCCTATTTTCATCAGATACGTGTTGGAGGGTACAGAGTTATGCAACCCCTGAGCCATGGAGATAAGCAACCATACATCCTTTAGAAGACATATGAAGGCAGCCCTGCATAGGGACATTTTTGAATGTTTAATGTTTTGTTATGATTTTATATACAGTATGTTGGGAGCCACCTAGAGTGGCTGGAGGTACCCAGTCAAATGGGCAGGGTATAAATAAAAAATTATGATTACTATTGACTAGGACGTCCCTATTTTCACCAGCAAAATGTTGGAGGGTGTGGTATGGGAGTGGGTGTGCACATGCCTGAGTGTGTTTTGGCAACCTTTGCAGGGGTGGGCTTGGCTATCAATTCAGCCTGGAAATGGTTAGCCAACCCTGACATAGACAAAACTAAGCTAGGTGGACTAGTGGTTTGATTCAGTATAAGGCAGCTTTTTATGTCCTACATCAGATAGGAAATCTCAGGCCCTGGGGGCCAAACACAGTCTTCTATGCCTCTCTATCTGGCCCTAAGGACTCTCCCCAGTCTCTCTCCCCTCAGCAGCCCTATGGAGTACAGTGGTACCTCGGGTTAAGTACTTAATTCGTTCCAGAGGTCCGTTCTTAATCTGAAACTGTTCTTAACCTGAAGCACCACTTTAGCTAATGGGGCCTCCTGCTGCCGCCACGCTGCCAGAACACGATTTCTGTTCTCATCCTGAAGCAAAGTTCTTAACCTGAAGCACTATTTCTGGGTTAGCAGAGTCTGTAACCTGAAGCGTATGTAACCCGACGTACCACTGTATCTTCTACCAATATGTTTGCCTGGCTGGTGTAGGTCACTGAACAGACCCTCTGGTTTGCTTTGATGGAAGATAGGCTCCTGTACAAAGGTCATATTTACATTTGTTGCCCCACCCACTTTTGTTCAGGAACTGGAAGATCACAGAATTCTGATGAAAACCGAAAAGGAAGTGGAAACTGCTGCAGTCTGTGGATTCATCTGTCACCAGAAATGGAAATCAGTTAAGCATGGGTATCCATTCTCATTGCCTTCGTTGGGGTTTTCCAAGTCCCACAGATGATGCATCATTGATGGCTTTTAAAAAGCATGTTTTAACGTTTTCTTTGCATTGAAATGAGTGTATGTGATGTCAGCTACAGAAACAGAGGAAAGCAAGAGGAATAATGTAGTATTTTGTGGAGGCTGAACTGCAGTGGAACAGAAATAGCACGAATTGGGATAAACAAAGTTGGAACAGAAATCACTCCCTTCTGACGTCCCTAACCTCAAGAGTGAGGGAGGCAGAAGCAGACAACCACAGGGCCTGCTCCAGTCAGACTGTCCATACCCACCCACCCAATTTTGTGTGTTATATAATTAGTCTTAGTACTTTAAAATTGTGAACCACCTTGGGTGCCTTGGAGGAAAGGGGGAATATACAGATGGTAACAACAACAACAACAACAACAACAACAACAGCCAGAAATGTAAGCTCAGTTCTGATAATCAAAACAGATTCCTAGGCCCACATTTCTTTTGTTGTACGTCAACATTAAACAAACAAACAAACAAACAAACAAACAAACAAACAAATTATTATTTATACCCTGCTCATCTGACTGGGTGTCCCCAGCCACTCCGGGCGGCTCTCAACAGAATCATCATCATCATCATCATCATCATCATCATCATGTGATAAAACATCAACCATTATTCCCCCCCCCTAAAAATAGCTGCCTTTAGATGTCTTCTAAAAGTCAGATAGTTGTTTATTTGCTTGACATCTGATGGGAGGGCGTTCCACAAGGCGGGCGCCACTACCGAGAAGGCCCTCTGCCTGATTCCCTGCAGCTTCACTTGCAATAAGGGAACCGCCCTCGGAGCTAACTCTGGCTGGCCGACCAAAGTAGATCAAGCAAACCTGAAATATGCACTGCCTTGTTTTGGATGGGGGTCCAAAACTTCCAAATGGCATCAGGTGAAGGCTGCTACAGTGTTACTACAGAGCAGCTACACTGCCTTGGCTAAGTTCATTGGAGTAATAAAGTAAGGAGAGTCCGTCTTTGCCCCCTTTGCGGTTGTTTTGGCATTAGGATTTCATCCAGAGTCTACACCCTAATGGCTTATTCTTGGACAGCTTGTCTCTTTAGCTGTGTGTGTGTGTGTGTACTTTAAAATCTATAGATATTGTGCAATGGCACATTTCAGGTATTAATCATGCATGGCTGTTCCCAGGCATATGATTGCATGTGTAGCACATTACTTTAAACGTGCTTTGCAGTCTTTAAGGTCTTCATTGCGGTAGCAACCCTGCAAGGTAGAGTGCAGGGCCGGCCTGCCCATGAGGTGGTCTGAGGCAACTGCCTCAGGCGGCAGAACTGCAAGAGGCGGCTCCCCCTTAGGCACTTCAGTGTCTCCGCTTCACCATAATAAGGTGAAACTAAATAAGATGGGACTGCAAGAAGATCAAACGACTAAAAGAAGATCAAACGTATCCATTCTTAAGGAAATCAGCCCTGAGTGCTCACTGGAAGGACAAATCCTGAAGCTGAGGCTCCAATACTTTGGCCACCTCATGAGAAGAGAAGACTCCCTGGAAAAGACCCTGATGTTGGGAAAGATGGAGGGCACAAGGAGAAGGGACGACAGAGAACAAGATGGTTGGACAGTGTTCTCGAAGCTACAAACATGAGTCTGACCAAACTGCGGGAGGCAGTGGAAGACAGGAGTGCCTGGCGTGCTCTGGTCCATGGGGTCACGAAGAGTCGGACACGACTAAACGACTAAACAACAACAAAATAAGATGGAACCTGTAAGTTTGCTGCTTGTTTTAAAGGAGAGGGAGGACTTTTAAACAGCTCTCTTATAAAGCTCAGTCTTCACATTGTGGTGGTGAAAGTTATAGATATGACCCTGTATGGCATTTGCAAAATCTCCATCCACACAATGCATACCCTCCAACATTTCTCCAATGAAAATAGGGACGTACCATTCCATCAAGATAATTTTACTATTTATACCCCACACATCTTACTGGGTTGCCTCAGCCACTCTGGGTCGCTTCCAACATATATAAAACATAATAAAACAATAAAACTTCCCTATACAGAATTGCCTTCAAATGGCTCAGGGGTCAGATAACTCCATACCCTCCAACATTTCTCCAATGAAAATAGGGACATCCTAAGGAAAAGTGGGATGTTCTGGGATCAAATCAGAAACCAGGATGGCTTCTCTAAATCAGGGACGTCCCTAGAAAATAGGGAAACTCGGAGGGTCTGATAATGGATTTTATTTACAGCATGGAAAGCCAAAACATGAAGAAATGTTGGTCTTCTACTTGAAACAGGTTATGATACCAGTAAACAGACTAAAAGAACGCACACACAAAACCTTTGAGCTTTTTAGTAATGTGTTTGTGTGTAGATAGATAGGAACTGAATACCCAGCGTTTTGAATTTAATCTGCCTTTGTGCAGCAAAGAAACTGATTGACCTAACACCAATTAAAATGAACAAATAAAGCAGGAAATTAGCATGGGTAAACCACCACACCACCCTGGTTTCTATTTCCTGACCAGCTCTGCACCTCGTAAATTAGATGCTGCCTAGGGTAGAGCATCTGCAACAGGTATCTAGGTAAACTCTGGCATTTTCCAAATGTAACAAGTTTTCAGAATTATTCCTAGAGTTTGTTCCCAATGGTGAACAAATTGACGGGTATATCACAATTATGGTTGTAGATTAGAAGTTTATCCCACCCACCACCGGTTTTTCTGGGGTTTATTTATCGGTGACATGATACAGGGCAGCAGAGTCACTGAAATATAAAGCAATTGTAGGTAATACTACACTGAATTAGATGCTTAGCTAGAAAGCTATCTCCCACAAACAGCTGTATGGATAAGGAGGTGACAAAGAACAGAATTATGCTCCTTGAGTCCTTGACCACAGGGTTTGGCTCTAGGTTAGGACAGGAGTGATAGGTTTTAGAATTAAAATTGGTTGGCTTAAACTTCATATATATTTAACAGAGTTAAAAAAAGTGCTTGGAAGCTGGAGCTTGTCTATCTCATTCATACATCACTAGCATTGCTAAATAAATACACAGGAGTTGCTTTGCTAAAGAAAAATGGTTCTTTACTTATAGTTACTTCATGTTCACGAAGATGGCTTTGGATTCTAAATCTAAATTGTGAAGAGATTTTCATGGCTGCGTGGTGTGGGAGAAGAGGGAAGAGAGAGAAAGAGAACAGTAGGCAGTGGCGAAGCTTATGTTGTTTAGTGCCGAACCACTACTGAGTATTTTCCCTGACTACAGTATCTGTTAGTCTCAACCCTGCCCTCTACTGACTGAAGACATGCAAGGTTGCTTGTACCCAACAAGGAGAACCAAACGGAAATCACTGCTGCTTTTCTAGGTGCCTTGTGCTAGGAGTTTAGCTGCAAAAGAAGACAGGGTTCTTGCACCTTCAATAGATGTGCATGGCAAGTTACACCTGCTGAATTTCCCATTTCTACACTAATATTAAAGGTGCGGGAGTCCTGGCCTTGCTTGCCTTG